CCCAGAAACATTGAAATCTTGATCTGAGAGAGACAGAGAGAATGCATCCTAAGACACACATGTACACAATGCAAAAACCCATGGGAGGTTTGCCTGCCCAGGGTTATCACACACACAACATTCCTTTTAACTATGGCAAGAATTTACCTCCAGGGAAGAACCAGTCTGCATGCTGAATAATTGGCTCAATAACTGCTACCACGTGGACTGAAGTTGCTGCTGCCATTTCAGCCAGGGATCTGCAGAAGAAATTTGTGGAACACTTTATTATCAAGAGTTTTATTACAGGGAGAAAACATACAGTAAAAAAATCATATTACCCAAATGGCAAACTATGCTAAGTGTGATGTATCAAGACTCCTCAGTGCCACATAAAGAGCAACTTCACACTTTGATGAAGTCTAGACTATTCAGTAACATTGACATAATTTTAAAACACTCCTAAAAAGATGCAGGTCTAAAAGAATCAGGAGGGACAGGTTGAGAGAACATCTGCAATACCTTTTAGACAAATACTCTGTTGCGGTGAACAGTTGACATGACTTAAAACTACATCATGAGAAATTTTACAGTTCCATGGAAGTTCTGTCTGTAGCTTTCCTGAAACAACTTACCCTTCGTTCTTTGCCCACAACAAGTTGGGGCCCAAGACTATGGCAACGTTGCTGGGAGTCATTTTGTTAACGTCGCTGTGCTGTGCAAGCTTTGCTAAAAACTTGATTAAATACCTACAAGAAGGAAAGACACAATTAAGCAGCAGGAACTTAAAGCATTTCTTGTTGAGGGCAACTAAGTAAAAATTCAAGAACTTGTAAAGACAGCTCCTAACAAAAGAGAAATAAGATGAACAGCCTTCTGGTTTGGTGGCTGGCTGCTACATTTCTACCTGTGAATCACAGAAGGTGAATGGGGCAGAAAAGCAGGCATCTCCCACCTCAGCAAAATGCAACTGAAGAACTCTTGGTTATTTTCAGAGAATGCCTAGTAAGGAGCTATTTCATACCCTCTAATGGAACTTTCACACTTCTAAGAGCCATGAGAGTTCGTTTTGTTCTGATTCATTCCCAAAAGGCAAAACTAAAGGGAAAAATAACATGTGTAAGATACACCCAGGTGATTTCTAAGACTGGAAAATACAGTGATGAACACAGCTGATGAGAAGTCTGGTACTACTGCCAACAGCATGACCCTTAAATAGAAAGATTCTGTGCATCACTGTTTCATTACAGTCAACAGTGAATGAACTGGACTTAAACTATCACCACCTTCAGTGCACACCTACTACTTGATAAAACAGGATTTCCTTTTCTGAACCTTACTGAATTTGGCCACGAAAAAAAACACTGGGTTAAGAGTTTTTGGAAATCTGCTTTGAAATGTGGTACTGTAGCATCAAAGCAGCTGTGCTGCAAGTCAACAGCTGTCCAACACATACCTGAAGTTAGCATGATAATGCTTAGGTAATCTGTTACAAATTCTCCATAACTCTTGTAGCTTCTTATCCTGGTCCTGAATACTGAAAGGAAAAAACAATTCCATTACATCTTACTTTCAGATCAGAAAGCTGTTGTTTCTGCAATGAGCAAAGAAATGACCCATAGGAATGTTTTCCAAAGCATGCTTACTTTGCAGCTTGTGTCCATTCCTCATATAGACTGTAGGTCATTAAAGGTTCTGGCAGCTCTCGCAAATAGGATTTCAAGGCACCTGCAACACAGACCAGAAATAGACAAGCTGCTTAGCCAGTGCTTTCTGTCTTTAGATACAATTCTGTCCTCAGTTTTCAATTTTAGCTATGGCACAGGACCCACGTTCCAGTGCAACAGTGGGAAGACCTGACAGTTCCACAGCATAGCTGCTCAACACTTAACACAAAAGGTTCTTCCAGTAATTGCTGTGATTTGACAGAAACATGTAGTATAAAACTATGATTCCTCTCTTCAGAACAAAGACCTTACTAAAGGTCTACGTGTGGCTCTAATCTCCCTTGATCATGTTAACCCTCCTCATGAGAAGATTGGATTACCACAATCACCTGAATTTTAAACACCACTCTGTGCACCGAGTGTCTGTACCCAGTACTGACCAGTACTGAGCTGTGTGCAGCTGTGCAATGAAGTGGCCTTTCAATCCATTCTCATGCACAGTTTATCTGCACTGCAGCAACAGTTACACAAACAGCATTGTGTGACATCAGTTTATACCTGCAGAATATTCACCATACCTGCAACAGCATGGGGATCTGAATAGAATTCATCAAGCTGGGAAGTTGAACAGTCCAAGGCAGCTTTCAGTTTTTTTAACTTGGAGGCTCCAGCAGCAATTCTGAACAAGCCCTGGATAACAGAAATCAAATGTAGTTGACTGGTAACAACACCTTAGTACAAGCATGAAACAGTAGAACTTTGATGACTTTTTCAGAACAGTTTGGAGCTCGGAGTCTTCACCTTAGGCTGTTGTGACCTCGCTGGCTCTCCATGCCTCACTGCCACCTCACCACCTTTCAGTTACCTCTCACCCTTGGCCCATTATTGATTTTTCATTCTAGCTGCATGAATCTCAAAAGATACTTCAAGTAATGCTGAAGGTGTTCTATTGCAAAAGATTCATCATCTCCGCTAACAAAGTTACATAAGCAACTTGTTAAAAAGTACAGGCACCAGGCTGAGAGTTCAGAGCTGGTGTCCTGTTCTCCCAGCAGGGGCTGTGGTGTTACCTGATGGCAGTACCCACCTCCTCCCTCATTCCCGTTTCCAAGAGCATCATCACACAGGCTTCAATGGGCACTGCAATCTCACGGCCGCTGCGCTTGAGATGCTCTTCTAATGGAGTTCCAAAAGCTGGTTTCTCAGTCCATTTGTCTAGTTGGAGAGTATCAAAACACTGAGCAAAATATCTAACAAACATTTGAGTTATGTCCCAGGCAAGGTAAGAAGAAAGGCTCTAGCACAGCAAAGAAATTTTCAGAATGCAGTAGGAGTTTTAGAGCCCTTGATTTGTAAAGTCCCTTATATCGTGAGTAAAGAGAAAATGAATGTATTGGTGTCCAAGAACAGAGTTACTTCTGCATCTTTCCAGATGGAATTACACACAGTCCTTTGTGCAACTGGGAGTGCATGTCCCACCAGGTGTCAACACAAGTGCCACCACATGGCTAAGTTCCATCCCTCTGATACATTAATTCTAGGTTTGCAAGAATCTTTGAGGAAAACTTTTGTCCAGATTGTGTCACTTGGGCTGACCTCAGTTTAAACTGTATTTAAGGTGCATAAAACCTGAGGAATCTGCAACTTAAAGCAGATGTTTGCAACTTCAAGGTCTTACATCAGAATTGCCACCTTGACAGCCCACCACTGACACTTGCACAAATTTTCAATTCTATTTCTCCATTGCTGCTTAACTCTGAAAGTGAAAATTGGCACAAGTTTCTCCAAAATGAATATGAATTTCTTGTTTCCTACAATTTCTTTTTTCCATCAATTTCTGCTGTCTTAATTGAAAGAATGCAGATGTAAAAGGTTATTGTTAGTTCAGATGCATTTGGTATTTTTATGGAGAAAAAAAGGTCAAGAAAGACAAAGACTTTGAAAGAGTCCTCTGAAGATACAAGGTGCTTCTGCAAAAGATTTAATTTACCCTTTTTGCTTATGAAACCAAATCAACTCCATCTCCCATGAGGCTTTAGCTCCTCTCCTTCAGTAACTGCCAGAGGCACACGTTGTTTTCCCTAGTTTTGCAAGTCACAGCAAACATCAGGAAAAGAAACCCCAGGAACTGTTCAAAGCCACAGAAATACACAACAGCTACAAACACAGCTGAAGTCGTGCCCTACACTTGGGTCTCAGACACTGGACCACAGAGACATTGTGCCTCCTAGCCCACCTTCTAGCATGGCTAGTCTGTACTGAAGCATTTACCAAATGAAAAGTTTGCACAAAGCAGCTGAGCAACAACGACTTATTTCAAGCAGTCATATCCACGAACAGCCCTTTCCACACAGCCTGGGGGGCTGTGTCAGACCACTGGCTTGCATTGCCTCTCCTCCATTCAGCCCCACCCAGCACACTGTGTCACCTTTCAGCAAGGTGCTCCTCTTTCTTGATGTATTTAGTTGAACAGTTCATATTTTACAACTTGTGTATGATCCACACCTAATCTGAGTGTTGCTCAGCTCAGATTCTGTGTGGCTCAGCCTGCTCAGCCTGCCTCTTGTCCAAAGCCACTGGCAGAGGCAGAGCAGCCAGGACTGAGGGCAGCATTTCAACAACCCACGGGGCACCTTCATACAATAGACCTCAACTCCCACTAAGAATGGAAAGCTTAGCAGAGCAGGGAAGAAATGCAGCTGTATGACCTGCCTCCCTACTGCTGGAATCCCACACAACAATGGGAGCCCTCCAGCAGCCAGCTGTGGAGCAGTGTGCACACTGGGAAGGACTGCACAGACAAAGGAAGAGAAGTCAAGCTCCTCAGAATCAGGGGAGTTTTCTGATAATCACCTGGTAATAACTCAAGAAGCAAGGACCCTAAAAAGTTCCTAAGTCACAAAGAAACTTGTTGGCCTAAAAAGCCAGGTATGAATTAGCAACAGGTCATGTGATATCAGGGAAGAAGTGCAAGCAAATTGAAAAATCCTTTCCTTTTCCCTCTTGGGTATCAGGCAGAGCCTTAGTATTTTATTAGTGTGTTAAAATATGACTGGAGAACTCCAGAGAACACAAAGATGGAATTATGCTCGGGAATGTAAAATTGTTAAGTAGATCAAATGGCCTTATTAAATAAGTCTGCATGCAAGAGAATCAAGATAAAGGAGGAGAATATTGTGCATAGGTGGCACAGGCAAGGAGAAGCATCAGCCAGAGCACAGGTTACTTTACCTTGATGGGCTTGAATTTCGGGTAGGACCTTTTCTATGACTGCTAATGCTTTTCTATGGTAATCTGCTTGTGCTTCTAATAACTGAGAACAGAAGCCACATTTTAAAAACAAAAAGAGCATTAGCTTCTGATGAGCACATAAAACAAGACTAGAAGGTTTAGCACACAGAATGTCACATCTGAGAACTGAGGGTCTATGCACGTACGTGCTGCCATCAGACACACTGAACACACACTCACCGTGACAAAGTACTTGGCGTACTCCCCTTCTCTGGACACAAAGCTGTACATGTCTGCTGCCAGCTGATCCTTTGGGAAAGCAAAGAATGCAAAACAGTGCATCACATTTACAGGGTCGTTTCAACTTACACAGAAGGACAGAAGTACATATGTTTATTTTCCTGCACTACCTTTGAACTATCAGCTCCGGCAGCACAGGAAGCCAGTGACCCACCTACTCTGCTCCATGTATTCTTCTAAGTAAAACTCATTAAAAATGTCTCACTGTGCTTTGTGCAGCAAAGCAGCTGCCCACTGCAATGAGCAACTGGATTGTAAGGCAATATGTTATTTACAGCCAACCCCTGCACACACTGATAAGCACTACTAAAAGGTTTTGGTGCTCAGCTGTGTAATAATGTAGCATTGGAGGACTGAGAAATGAAACTGTGAAGTGTTCAGAGCTGCCACAGTCAAAATGTTCTGTCAGCAGCCTGTATTTCACCTCAGCAGCTCACACTGCTACTCAGTGGCATCCTGAGCAAGCCAGTCCAGGCTAAGACACAGCTCCTTCCTGTAAGTGTCTCAGAATGAAACAGAAAATAATGTAAAATACCCATCTGAAAAAGAGTTCCCTGTTAAATTTAAGCAATTCAGACCAATCAGCTGGCATTAAAATACCTTTAAGACATAGAGCTTGTTAAGAGCCACATGATTTGTGGCTGCAGGAACCAGACTTCATGTACAAGGCTTCCAGAAGCAGCCATATCCTGCTTGCATTGGTGCTAATGAGGGGCAGGTAAAGGTCAGAGAGTCATCTTCTCATACCTTGCATTGTTCTACTTTATTTCCAGCTTCATCCATCTCTTCCTTAAGAGACTCTATTTTTGAAGGATGCACTTGAAAATTTGTTCCTGAAGTCTTGTGGGCTTGGTTATACCTGTGGAAGGAAGGGTTCAGTCCCTTGGAGAAAGTGAGTATTAAACAAGGATCTGCATTAATGCTCCCTTGGAACTGGTTTCTTCTGACAGAAAACAAACCCAAGAGTTTCAGAAGTTTTTCTACCACAGCTAAGAAAGGTGCTCAAACCACCCCATTTATGACATGCTGGCATAATTCAGAAACCACTAAACAACTGTAAAAACCCACAAGAAATCCAGCATTCTCCAACAACCAATCCCAGAAAATGCTACAAAAATTATCAGTACAGTTCCAGAGAGTTTAAAGGAACTTAAGGCTTAAGTTGATCAACCTAAGACCCTGCCCATGAGATGGTTCAATGTTGTGCTCTTGGTCCAATAAAAGCACTTGGTGTGGATACAGAATTAAGACTCCTGTTCCTTATTTGACAACTTAAGTGAACTGGAAAGAAGATGAGCTTTCAGTTTTTTTCCAATGATATATAGGCATGTGACAGCTCCAAAATATGGATTCTGTTTAGATCCAGTATTTGAGTCCTTTTCAGAATAAATGAAATATAAGTTTGTCTCTTTTCAGCAAAGTATTAACATGCATATAGTAGCATTTCAGAAGTGCCAGCATCAGATGTGATGCTAGGGATGCCAACAAGAAGTTCATATTAATAGAAAAGGACCTAGTAATTACAATTATTTCTTACCTTCCTCTTGCAGAATCCCAGTCCAACACCAGCTTTGCCAGCTGCTTCCTCTGCTTCTGAATGTTTGGGATCTCTGTCTAAAAGAATTCAAGGTTTATATTTATTTTTAAATTGTTCAGTGTAAGAAACTACTTTTTGCAGATTTCACAGCCACTTTCCACCACAAATGTGTAACTCCTTAGAACAGTGTTATTAGCAAAGTTTTAAATTGTTAGTAGTTCAACCCATTTCGCTCAGTTTATACATAAATTGAGATTTATTTCTTCAGTCAGGCTGAAAGGACTTACCTCTGTTAGCAGAGCCAGGGGATCCAAAACTTCTCTTTCTATCTGCACTTCATGCTGAGAGAGCTCCAGGGCCAGTTTATTCTCTGCATCACCACATGTGTCCAGCATTCTCCTTTCAGAATTACAAGAAGTTGTAATGTGAGCTACTACTGACTACAGAAGAAAGATTCAAAACAAAACACACTGGTGTGGTCTGCTACCCTCCTGGAAAGATTTGTGCTCATTGTACAAAGCAAGGCATTACTGCATGGCAATATGCCCAAGATGCTCTCTGCTGTCATTGGCAAACTTGGGATAGGCAAGGAGTGTTACTAAACCTGTGTCATCCAAAATTCCTTAGCCATTACAACATTTTTTTGGAGGTTTTAAGTCATCTAGGTGATTGTACTGGCCCTAAGGGCAGAGAAGACTGATTCTTTCAAGGCCCATCCTTCTACCTGATGAAGGAAAATGACTCAATGCAGCATTTAATTTTCTCCTAAGCCCCCTTAATGTGCAAAACTCTTTACACCACAACGCTGAGCAATCACATATGCAGAACCCTCAGGTTCCAAACCCACCATCTCACCTCTGTTTTCAGCTTGTTCTAAGGAAAAAACCCTATTCTTTAATATTTTTGTCCACATTTAAATCTCCTGCAACAGCTCACAAAAATGCACACAAAGGTTTTTAAAGTCATTCTACAGAGCCTCCATTAGAATTCCCATCAGCAAGGAGGAAATAAGTTTGCTTTAGGAATTCTTGAGGAATTTCAGTGCTTTAAGACCAAATGCTAATTTGTTTCAGGCACTTTTCTTGTGAGTTGCAAACACACACTTTGCCAAGGTAAGGAAACTGGCATTATTTGAAGCTAGAAGCCACTAATGGCATTAGCATGATTTTAAGTCATTAATGCAGAACTGCAGAATGCAGCATTTACACTACATTTTAAATGGAGATAGCAATTTTACTCGTTCACAAGAAGAGCAGTTTCAAAAGCTTTAAAGCAAAGAATCAGAATCCTCTGGAACACAATTCAGAGCAAGCCTAAGATTTGCCCCCAGGATCACTCAAAAAGAAATGCTTGCTCACTGTTTCTCCCCTTGGATTAGAGAAGGAATCTAGAAATATTAGTTTCATTAGATTGAAAACAGCCTTTGTGTACCCAAAGTCTCTAATTAGGGCCCTGCAGGCAAGAAAATTACAGACTACAACTTACAAAGCCAAATACTTACCCCAGCAGAGTTTCATCACTCAGCTGGACAGATCCTTCTTGCATATTTTGAGCAAGAGCTGTTAGAGGAAGTTTTTTCTATGGAACAGAAAGAACAGTGCTTAGTGCTATTCCCCCTCTCCAGCTTTCCCAGTACATCCCCTCTAAGATTCTTCTCTGCTTCCATATGGTTTCTGTTATCCACACAGGCAGCTCATTCTTTAAGAAAATGCCAAGTCACAAAAAGTTTCAAGCCTCAGGACTTCTGCTATCAGACACTTTGAAAACCACTTGCTTCTAAGTCTTAGTTGGAGTGACTGGCCCAAAATGTATCTCAGCTACTGTCAAAGACAAGTAAACAGTTTCAAATTGAGATCTAAGCAGCAAGCCTGTCATCTGTCCCTCTGCAGAGGTTTCTTCTGTGTGCCCATTTTCAGGAGGTCTCTTATTCAATAAAAGGAGAAAACTTAAATGTTAATTATTTCTGGTTCTAACACTTTAAGAAAACCTATGTGTAGCTTTGCTGAAGAGGGGCAGAAATCAAAGGTGTACAGAAAAACATTTCCAGTTAAGTGGTGATATCAAACCACAAAGGTAATTCTAAATGGAAGGATCTTCATCAGAGCTGCAGGATATTTTCTCTTTAGGTGCCATGAAAGCTGAGAGCACTCAGCACAGAGCAGAAACAGGCCAGTGTCCTGACACTACTGAGGTGCTCCAAGGTCACATCACTGGCAGCCTTTTACCAAACCATGTCAACGTGAGATGACTGTAGTTTTTCTTCTCTTGGTAATTTGAGGCTTAGCACCTGACCAGTGTTTTGAAGCCCAGACTGTATTCAGACCAGTCTTAGAAGAGCAGCCAAAGGGCTATTGTACTCACATGTCTCTTCTCAGGATCTGTTCCATACTGGCCCTGAAAACAGGCAGTTAATCGCTTCTGTGCGATGTGGCAAACGGACCTCACAGTGTCCAGACGCCTCTCGATCTGCAGGGCAGGAGGGGAAGAGAGGAGGAACAGAAAACAAAACAAAAAACAGAAGTTATTTTCCTGGCCTCAGCAGAAAAATCTTCCTCCTGTACCACACTTAGCTCTGGGTTGCATGTTTCTCAAGCCCTACAGCTTAGAAGTTCAGCTCCTCAGCAGAAGTGCCTGGCAGCAAAAACACTTGGAAAGAGATTTAAACTGCTTTTCTTTTTTCTCAGTGGCACAGCAGCTCAGTCAGTCTGCAATGCTCACAAGATGGGAGAGTGGAAAAGGGAGAAAAACCTTGCTCCTACTTTTTGTCTCAAAGAGAATCAAGTTGATAGTTGCCATCTGAGATGAATGGCACATGCAGGTATCTAAGATGCTGACTTAGGGAGAAAACTCTTGTATTTTCATTGTGACCTTGCACAGAAGAAGGCTGAAGACACACCTGCCTGCTCCTTTACACTGGGCCAGAGCCCTGCACTGCAAGGCTTTTGATTTGCTTTCCTCCTCTGGCTATTACAGACAAGGACAAAGTCCCTACATGCTAAGCAAGTAAGTATTTTCAGGGATAAATTAATGGGATTAAAAAGGGATGTGGAATTAAAAAAAAAGCGCCAATGCACAAACAAGTTCTGTTTATCACAGTATGCTTCAAACAGGGCTTAATACATAGACAGTAAATCTGAGAGATATACATTAACAACATTTTAAAGGGATTTTAAGGAAGGAATATGGGCTATTTTATTTCAAAGAACAGCAAAAGCAAACAAAGTGATGAGCACTGGGACAGAACTGCTTATGGCACTGAGCTCTCTATGCACAGCAGCAAAAGAATGTGGTTTATCTGCATTTTGATGACTCACCAAGAATAAAAGGAGGCCCCTTGGAATGGCTTCTATTTAAAAGGCAAGGGGAAAACAAAAAAAGTAGATTTGATCTGCAGAAATAATCTGAACAGACTCCAGTTTTTTATTCAGCTCTAAAATCTCTCCCATTACATTTTCAGGCAGGCAATAATTCTGCCCAGCTTTCCTATCAAACAGAAATACAGATTAGGTGAGAGAGCAGTCATCTTAGTGCCAAGTTACCATGCCCCACGTTAGCTCCTCTTAAGGACACTGTACCTGGGTTATAAGCAGGATTTACATTGGCAGTTTTCCCAGAGAAGGCAGCTGCCGTGTTCTAAGGGACATGAAATGCCATCAATTCTCATTTAGGATGCTGTAGATCCAGGTAAGAATGACATGTTTTTTCCTCCCAACAGGTTTATTTGGCACTACTATAATGGGAAATGTATCTCCCTAAAGTGGTTACAACTGGAAGGATGTAATTAGGTCCCAAGGAAGGCAGCTGCTAAACACTGCAGCTACTAAAGGGACAGATCAGCATATCCAACAGGAGCCCTCCAGGGTGTGGGCTGGAAGGAGATGCCAGTGGAGGAAGGCCCAGAGAGGTGAGCAGGTGGTGAGGACCAGTACAGAATCACTGCTGCTGGGCCTGGGAGCCCCCTCCTCAACTCACGAGCAAGTGCAGGACTGGGCTCCCTGGTTCCTTTGGGAGGAGGGGAGCAGCAGTTCTGCTAAAGTGCAGTTTGGAGGAGCACCCAAAGCTGGGCCTTGGGGCTGCTGTGCTGCCAAGCAGCAGCCTCTGCCAGTCCGAAGGGCAGGTGGAAAACAACCAGTTGTGACTTGAAGGACCAATGTAAGAAGAACAGAATTTCACTGGCTACATGAGGCACTGAAGGAACTAAAAGCTCCTGACAGCCACAAGGTGAATCCAAGCTGAAGTGCTCAAAAAGCTTAGAAAAAAAATCGATGACAGCAGAGTAAGGTGCAGAGCATCTGCCCTAGGACTGCTCTGCAAGCACAAGGCATTGCCTGTTAGTTACAGAGCATGGATTAAGAAGGTCAAAATAAAGTCCACTTCAAAAAAGCCCACATGAAGATGTATGAACAAGAAGCTATTGTTTGTTGCCTAGTGCTGCAGCTCAGGCTATTGATTTCTGTTGTGCTGCCTTAAAAATTCAAAACACCAACACATTCTCAACCATCCACTCACTACCTGTGAAAACATTTCTGTTTGCAAGGTCACATAGTTAAGACTTCTTAAAATATTGAGCAGGTTTTTTTCCCCCCACACCTGAAACATGGTGACACCCTGTAACTGAACCATCTTGCAGATGCCAGCAGACTAACACAGCCCCTGGCAGCCATGCATGGAGGCTGAAGTTCCTTGCAAAAACTCTAGAGCCCATATATTCCCAACAGCCACTTTCCAGGCAGTCCTGAATGACAAAACCCAAAGGGCTGAAGACTGATAGAAGGAACATGACCCCAAAACTTGCAGATAATGCACTCTCCTCTCTGATCTGCTTTTTAGTTCAAAGATGTCAGGAAAACCATGAAGGCCATTAATCACTATTAAGCTACCTTTGAACTGAAAATGTGACCTGCAGGCCATGCTGTCTGTACCCACAGGGCATCTTCAATGTACAAAACATCACACAATTGCTTTACTATATGCTACAAGGGCATGCCAGAAAGTAGGTCTATTGTATAAGCCTTTACAGCACTGAATTATATTGCCTGTCTTCAGACAGGAACACATTTAACAGATACTTGAAATGGAGTCTTGCACTTCAGAAAACATAATAAAGCTATGACCATCCTATGTCAAAGCCTGAGCTAAATATAAAAAGAGAACACTGTGGAACATGTTTGTAAAGTGAACAGTGCCACAAATGCTTTTGAGCTCTTTAGTTAGATAAGAGCCTCCCCCCCTGCACAAGACCCCAAGAGCAAACAAACAAGTGAGTAAATTCTTCCACTTGGGTGTAGCCAGTCTGCTCTGTGCCTGGGAAAGCCTTGCTTGCAAAATTTTTTTGGCAACAAGCAGCAATTCTTTTGGCTTTCACTGCTCGTTACTATTCTGCAGCTAACCAAGAAAACAGATGAGCCCTTGAAGGGTATCAAGGTGTTTTAACATCCTTTATGCTACTTAATTATACACTTATCCTCAGAAATTAAAAACACTATTGTCAAACTGCTCCTGTGTTCACTGTTCAAATCAAGCAGTCCCTGCAAAGCAGAGTAACACGTCTCAGCTCATCTCACCATTACTCAATATTTCATGTATTTGTGCTGAACTCAAGGCTGATGCATGCTCCCATCTTCCACTTCAATCTGAACAGATTGAGAGATTTGAAATAAAAGCACTTGTCTCATTTCTTTGGCCTCCACGTCTTCTAATACAGGTCCTGAACCTGAGCATACTAGGAGCCTCTGTAGCCAGTGCCAAGTAACCATTGCACTGAGGTCCCAGAGCAGCCCCCCTGCCTTCCTGGCCAGTTTAGGTTCTGCAATTATTTTTTTTTTTTAAGTCTTTCAACAAAGTAACCAGAGGAAAAAATCAAACAATCAAACATGTAGAACAAGTGTGTAATCAAATCTGTTCCATGTGATCAGTCAACCTTGTCAATCTAACAGTTGCAGCTAAAATTCCACCAGAAAGTGATGTCTGGTTAGATGGGGCACTGTTAAAAAGATGACAAGTTCATAAACAAATCAATGTCAGTGTGACAAACTTGAGAAAAAATATTGCAAGCTACTCAAGAAGCACTTGCACATTTATTTAGAACAACTCCACACTTAGAGAAAACAGGACATTATTTATCAGCAAGCTGTTGGCATATTTTCTGCTGCTTCTCTTAAGGCCCGGGTTGACCTCTTGAAGAGAACCAGAAATTAAGACAGAAACCAGCTGTGCATCATCACAGCTTCTTCCCAGCTCCTTGCACCCTACGAGACAGCCTGGCAAGTCATTAGCCTTAATGGGTCATAAGCTACTTCATCTAATTAAATGTAAAAATGCTTCCTCCTTCACTTTGTCAAGCCACATGATGAGGTTCAGAATCCTAAGTACCTAAGTTTTTCAACTCAATTGTATCACAGTTTCTTCATGTGCTGAGAAGTCAGCCCAAGACTCCTCTGTGTTCAACCCTGTCATTTGCAGTATTTTTTTTCTCCACAGGGACTCAAGCTTCATAAAGAGCATTTAAAAAAAAATACACATTAACTGTGTTACAATACCTGCAACAGGTCTTCACTGAGTACCTCGGTTTTCTCAGCCCTAAGGGAGGAAAAAAGAGGATTGTCAGACTAATGAGCACACTCAGGGTCAAAGATTGCCGTGGGGCTTTCAACAACCCCGTTCCAAGGTGCAATCCCGTTAGGACCATTGCTGCAACACCACCCCCTCCAGGATGTCACACAGCCCTGGCTCCTGCACAGGGTGCTCGGGAAAGCCTGACATTCCCGGAATTCCCAGTCCAGGGCACGAATCCACTGCCCCAGCAGTAGTTCACATTGCCCAGGTTTCAAAGAAAGCACACTGGAATCCTGATTAACTTCACTCAAATGCAAAGATGCACTGAAGCAACTTGGATTTCCCTCCTTGCTGTTAACCCAGTAATGTTATCGATGCACCTTAATGTCAGGGAATGTAAAGCCTGAGAAAAGTAGGACAGCAATTTCATTTTTGTATCTCCTGCCACTGCAGAGCTTTATCAATCAGCACTCAACAGAAATGGTGACACCTTCCCTCAATCTCAGGTGCACACAACGTTCAGCAGAAATCTCCCATTACCCGCTGATGCTGACTTCCTTAGTACTAAACCAGAAAAGATTCCTTACTTTAAAAGACCATCAGACACCAACACTCCCAAAGGTCTGCCCTCCATCCAAATCTATCTGAATGCCTACACACACTTCCAGACAGAATATAAACAGTTGTTACAAACACACTCAAACCTTTACATATACAATTCCAGACCTTTTTCCAAAGCCAGTTTACACATAAACTTTGAATGGTTTAGTGTTGACACAGATTTATTTGGTGTTGACTCATCTGCTATAACGCAGCTTTATTCTACCTTTGCTAGATCTATAAAACAGAGCAAGATAAACTTTGTTCACCCGTGATCTTTCCCACTTGGCTGTTCACTGCTACTACACTGTAGAGGACTTGGAGGTCTTCCAGGGCTCTATTGTCCTGTCCAGAGTTTCCCCTGCTGCTGTCCCAGTTCCTCACCTACTACACAGACTTCCTTCTGATCCTGCAATCTGTTGAATAACCTGCTGCAAGACTCATCATGCACAGAAAGTTCATTTTCTTGATCAGGCTTCATCAGCTGCACAGGCAAATGGCCTCCAAAGGCAAGATTCATTCGCTTGAAATTTCGAGGGTTTGTTCAGTTTTTTTGAGGCATTTGACTTCAATTTCAAGGTACATTATCTGTTTGAACTATTTGTGAACCATAAGGTGTTTAATAATTAAATATCAGAATACAGTAATGCTCAAAACCTCAACAAGTCTAAGACAAAAGCCACTTAAATACTTTGAGAGCAACATAAAGTGCAGGCACTGTACTACTGGTTTAAGGAAAACACATATAAGATTGATAAACTTTTCTTCCACACAAATAGAAATACTGTGTCTGATCAAAATTATATCCTCTTAGAGAGCAATTATTTGTTTTTTGGTTTTGTTTTTTTGTTTGTTTTTTTTGTCTTGCAAAATCCCATTGGAAGTTACATGAAAGATTTACAGTGTAAGAATACTCCACTTCTAGTTGAACCTTCTTGAACAGATTTTAATCTAATCTTAAGTGGATACTACTACATATATCAGCTAACTGATTTGATAGGAGCATACAGAGCTAGTAAATATTTGTTGAAACATTGTGCTGTACATGATAATGGTTTCACACAGAATTCTCAGGCAGCCAGAGCTTTCTGTCCTTCAACAGACTGTGTGAGAGATGAGCCACCTCAGTTTCTGAAACTGCACTGGGTGCTGTACGTGCCTGTGAAGAAGGGGCTGTGTTTACCATGGCAAACATGGCTTTTGGTTTCCAACACCATCATCTTCTTCTGTTTTCCACAGGTGAATGGATGCTTTTCACTAGCAGCTTTCACAAAGTTACATTTTACCCACCTTTAAGAAGGTGCAATGGCACAGAGTGTGCACGGCGCTGCCAAACAGCATCTGGCTTCAGCTTTGTGCTTCCCCCTGACACTGGTGGCAGCAGGACAGTGTCCTCAGAACAGCACTGATTTGGAAAAGCCACTGATGATGATGTCAGGTTCGGAAATGCAAGAGGGAAAACCTCACCCTTCCTGCAGGCCCACATTCCACCTTGAGTAAGGAAGCCAAGAAAGAGCCACTAAATAATATTAGAGTTTCAGTGACCACGATCGTAAGCCAGGAAATGCAACCTTGCGATGGCAGCACAGCCTCTCCATCTCCTTACTGGGCAGGGAAAAAGAACAAACCATCAAAGGTATCTCTGCTGCCTTCTAAGTAACAGGTACTACCAGTTTAAAGTTGGCACCTCCAGTTTGCAGCTTCCTGGGATGCTAATTCCATGCACTGACTAATGACAGAATGAACACATCGACAGAAATAACCAAGTTTTCACTGCTACTTGAAGTTTTGTCCTTATCCCTTATTAGGTCTTATTTGTGCCTTATCTTGTTGGTAGCATGAAGTGATGAATAAATACTTCTGGAATCAAGACCTGATTAAGAATTGGAAGATTTGGTTGCAGGGAGTGTTCCCAAGGGCTTTCTGATGCCTGCCAGTGCTGGCAGCTGGCCACCAGCCCACAGACCCTCCACTGTCAGCTTCCCCCTGGGACTCAGGAACACAGCCCACCCCAGACTGAGATTTCACAGCCCAGACTACAGCAGCTCCAGCTGTTTACATTCCCAGCAGCTGACCTCAACCCAGCCCAAACAGCCCATTCTCAGCAGCAAAGCCAGGTCCCCACAAGCTGTTTCTAAGAGGAAAGCATGTCCTGCTGCCCCAGGCCCTCCCTGGCACTGGGGACCCCAAACACGATGCTTTCTGCTCCAGGTCTTGGTGCTGGAGCTGTCCTTGCAGGATCTATTGGCACCTGGCAGGAAAGCAGAGATGTGCCCAGCCCAGCCTTCAGCCTCCTGACACCTTCTACATGACCTGGGAAGGGAAAGCCCAGGGCTTGGCATCACACCCCACTGCAGCCCTGGCTGCCGACACACACCAGAGCTGTAAGACTGGCAGCTGGAACAGGGCTGGTCCCATGGGAAAGGGGGGTTCCAGGAACTGAAGGTGAAGTTTTTCTGCTGCACTAGCCAGGATACCTGTTACACCAGCACCTTGACCTGAATCAGCTGGTACAAAGCTTTTCAATTAAAATTCAGCAGGGTATTTTAAAAGACTGCTTCTAAAAAAACCCCAAACCTGAACAATCATTAGCTGTGGCTATAATCTCCTCCTTAACGAATAAAGAGGATAAAACTACTGAATTCCCTAAAACTGGTACTTTCAAACTGTTTCCCACACTGAGTCAGTTCAGCACACTGTCCACTGTAAGCATCCCAAGTGCAGAGCTCCAGGAGCTGCTGCAAAAGCAGCTCATTTCTTCAGTCCCTCTCCTGCAGGGATCCAGCGCTTGTTCAGCTATTCAGAACAAGGAAGGAACAAGAGCAAACCTGAAATGAAGAGCCATAAAAAATTGGACATTGACAACAGAACAAGTGACTCAGTTCAAATGTCCACGTAGGACCAGAAACCTCCAACTCAGGCTGGGGCAGGAGGTAGAGCTGGCGGGAGGTGATGCCACAGGAGGGACAAGTCTGTGCTCCTGAACTCTGGAAAGATTTCAGCGGAAGCAAGAAGACACCCACCCAAAACATGATGCAAAATTAAATCGAGCCCTCCCTGCTATGTGATTTTCCTCAAACAAAGCATTTGTTTGTTACCACGAGTTACCAGATTAGCTTTGCTGGTGAGTTAACACTTGAGAGCACCTTCACTGGGCTGGCAGCACATCCTGCCTGCTTTCCACATACAATGGGCAGGGTTTGCTGCCAGGAAAAATGAAAGAATCAGCAGCTCTGTTCCAAAACAAGGAATCCAGAATTAGATGACAATTTCCTTTCTAAAACGTTTGCTTTAACATTCGCTAAGACAGACTCCACAGAAAACATAACTTAGAGGTATTTCAGGACTACCAGCTTACTTTTCCCCACTGTGCTCAAACAGGCTTCCTTTTTAAGCAGAGTAAACCCTGTACTTCATAATCCAAATTTATGGAACCTAATTATTAAGCACATGAAATCATTAAAAAACTAAATTAAAATTTCCATTTGGGGAAGAATCTGAAGCACCTGAACAAGACCAGAGACAAACTCACCCACAGGGATGCAGGAGGAGCAACCCCCCAGTGCCACTTTCTGTACGCTAAAGTGACTGCTGCATCCAGAGGTGAAACAAATCACTGTTCATGGCACTAACTTGCTTAGGTTTTATGGGGGCTTCACTTCAAGAAATCAAGGTGATACAGGGAACTTCTGGTTTTCCAGCTCAAAAGAACATGACAAGGTTTTCCCTGCCTCTTCCTCCTCCTGGGCAGCCAAGCTTGTGCAAAGGGTCCTTTCTTCAACTAGAATTTAAAATCAATGCAACAAACATTTCCACATTTCCCTCTTCCCATATTCTACCTAAATCCTGCATTTCTACATGCTTTTCAGAAGCTGAGATCTTCAACACATGAGAAGATCTTCCCATGTGACTGGAAAGCACAAATTTTAGAGTTGTAGCCTTCATAAAGGCATGTATTAAAGGCACCCTTTCAAAACCACTCCATTAAGAAAGATTTATTTTGCTTCCTTTGGCAGCCTGTGGCAATGCTCAGCTTTGTGGATAGACTGCAGGAGTTTGGTTTCACCAGCACAGCATTTGGAAGACAAGTCAGAGCAGAAATGTGTTTGGCCAAGTACACTTCTCACCACAGAAACCAAGTTCATTACACAAGCCCAAAATTAATCCTGTTTTGACTCCCCAGCATAAAACACTCCATCATTCATACTTCAGGTAAGGTAATACATTGGGTTCCTTGGTGTTGTTGGATTTGTTCAAAAGAAACTAACACAACCCAAGATTAGTATCAATGTTCTGTGAGTTATTTCAAACATTTTACAATCACTGCAGGGTGACTGTCAAATGATGGTCTCCATTCTCAGTATCTACTTAGTATTTAGTGATCAGTACTCACAACCAGTCACCATTTAGACTTCCACTTTGCCTACTACCCGTTTTCCATCCAAATTAACAATATAAACTTCTGCAAAATGTTAAAACTGCTTTCCTTGTAAATCTGATGACGACTGAATTCCTGGGGAGATAACCCAGCTTTCTGTGGAAGGCCCCAGTGCAAAACCAGTTTCCCCATTAAAGGGATGCTAAGGTCACCAATTTAACCCACATGGGAAGTGCTTTAAAAAATGTTGCGCCACCTCCAGGGCACCAAAATATTTAATTAGTTGAGATCTTTATCTTCAGAAGCCCAGCAGCTACAAAACTACAATTCAGGCCTTAATGAATGGATGATTTCTGCTCTCGTCTTCCCTTCTCCATTGAGCTTCTCCATCAAACTTCACATGGTCATTCAATCTAAAAGCTGCAGCTTTGATCCCTTCTCTAATCTCCGCCATCCGATGCTGAAGAATGGGGCCTGCCTGCTCTAATTAAGGGCAGACCAGGCTTTAGGAAGATCATCCTGGAAAGAAAGCAGACTGCTCCTTTGCAGTTGCAGGGAAACCCATGACAGACTGTTCGCATTAGGGGATCTGAAATTCCTTCCTCAGTGAAATGAATCCAAGGCTTCTCTCTCAAGCCAGGCAGTAAATTTAGCTATTTAGAACAACCAGGGCTCAAGCCAAATCCTATTTTAGGGCCACTCTCGGAGGCACAGTCACTGCAGTGAGGCCCCACAATGCCCTTCACAACTCCAACCCCCTCCCTGTAAAACATGCATGCTTTAATATTAGATCTTGAGAACTAAACTAAGTATGGTGCAGTTTGAGGGAAAAAAAAAACCAACCTTCTCAAACAGTTGAGTCTGTGTAAGAAATCCAGGTAGATAATTTGGAGCCCCACACACTACAAATCAGAGATGAACGTGAGCTGAAATTTCTAGATGGCAAGAATGCAATTGTGGTTGAACTGCAGAAGCAGATTTAAAGCAATTCAGTTTGCTGGAGGAAGCAGTGTCACAGTGAGCAGTCTCTGAGGAGTCTAAGAGCTTTCACAATTCTAGATACAAATAAAAATTTACAATTAAGTGCTTCCAGTTAACTACTGTCCCAGCAAATCAAGTGCTTATTGCTAACCTACTATTTCATACCATGAACTTTCCAAATATGTCAGTTATTAGTATAATTTATTAAAAATGTATACAAGCACCCTCACACAGTATTTTGGCAAAGAACTGTATTTAATGCCCAGTACTTATTTACAATAAAAAGTTCATTTTCACACAAGGCCCTTTCTTCTTCCAAGGAAGCAACAAACTTTTCTTATGCAGAGTAATTTTATCTAAAATTAGCTGGGTACAATTTTGAAGTAAGAGACAGTAGAGTACAAAGCAACCTAAATAATTACTGGATGTCTTATTCCTTAATCTCAGGTGCAATTTTACAATCTCTGCATGCCAACAGAAACATTGCTGCTGCCAGCCTGGGAATTCCCCGTGCCAGGGGTTTACTCCAGCAGCACCCACAACCAGAGCACTGGTGCTAGCAGAAAATTAACCTGGCTGAGGAACAGCAATCCATCACCCTGCAGTCACCTCCCTTTCCCAACTGGCTCTCCAGAGCTGCTCACCTTGTCCCTCCAGAGCAGCCTGAATTTTACGCCAGCTTGAGTCACCACCAAGTCACCATGGCAAGGAGCAAACGTTGGATTCCCCTGTCACATGCTTCCCTACAGCCCTTCCCCTTTTAGCAGTTCCCTCTTCCCCAAACTTCAGGTACAGGTCCCTGGTCCTCACACCCTTCCCTGCATCAGCAGCAGGCACAGGCAGCTCAGACTGCAATTCCATCCAATAACATAAATCCCTGGTTTCCAGTGCTCTGCAGGCCACCCCATGGCTGCCCCACTCCCTGTCCCTGGGCAGGGGAACTGGCACCAGGCAGTCTGGGCAGGGAGAGGGGAAATCTGTCCCTTTTAGCAACAGCAGCTACTTAAGATTAGTTTAAGATGATCACAAAACTGTGCCCTGGGGCCAACATTTCATTACCATCAGCTGACAGAGCTGCTGAAAAATGTTGTGTCCTCCCTCCCACCGCCCTCGGCTGTTCCCTGGGCCCAGCACAAGCATCTCCACCAGTCAACAGCTCCAAAGACTGACATGGCTGAAAACTGATCGGGTTGGAATAAGCCCCATTTTTTGGTCAGATCACTGCTGAGATAACAAGGTCAAGCACAAAGGGGTAGGAATAAAGGGTAGGGCAGGGGGGATCAAGGCTTGGTAGAAGGGCATGGCTGTGGAGTGGGATTCAGTGGTACCCCTGGAGTCTGGGCAGCAGCTGGTGTTTCTGGGTAAGGATAAGGGAACAGCTCCTGGATTTCCTACATGTGGGTTTGGCAGCTTGTAGTTTTTGGAGAGGACAAGTCCCCTTGCCAAACCACCTACTGACGTGAGAACTCCTTCACACTGAAGGAGGAGGGGGGGGAGAAAGGACAGAAACCCACCAAAAACTCTCAAACATATCCTGAACTTTCAAACATGACACTACTACCCACTAAACTCTAGAAAGTTTTAACTTCTGTGATTTCTTCTACCAGAGTCCTGCACTGTCAATCCCTGGAAGACTCCTAAAAGCAGCAAAGGCAAATCTCTGACAAAACCTCTGGAGCAAAAGACACTAAACTGGTAAAAAAAAAATCCAAGGCATTTTCTGCATATTTGTTTGCTTTTCTGCACTTTGGCAGGACCCTACAGCTTTATTACCTTGAGTGTCAGAAAACTCTAATCCAATACTGAATATTTCACCTAAGGTAATGCTGTTCTTAAACTTCATATGCTGTCCAGACAGGTCTATTTTAAGGTCAGGGATTCACAAACTGGCAAGAAAAAGGCTTTGAAAAGGAACCAAACTAAATCAACACAAAAAGCAAAACAAGGAAACACAGAAAAGGCAGAACAATGAAGTAGGAATAGAAACTAAGATAGAAAAAAGGAGTTGGAGGCTTTGAAATAACAGGAAAAAAAAAAAGTAAATGGGTATTCAGGGACCTGAAGTGACATAAAATCTACTACCAGGCTAGTGACAAGATAGGAATTATTCCTCATAACTGCTACTGCACACTGAAGCCTCTGCACTGATTTTCTGGTCAGTAGCCATGATTAACAATTAATGGCTGAGCCCTTTATTATGTTTCACCAACAGGAAAGCCAGTTTCTGAGCTGAGTCTGACAATTACCCTGCAACAAGCCACCCAACCCATGACGGGACTACTTGGCGCGGGATGCAGACGGGTCTGTTTTTGTGTTGCTTAGAGACAGTGCACACAAGAGCACAGCACTGTGTGTGACGTCCAGGTCCACGCCACAGCTGCCCTGCCATGTGCTGCACATGAGGCTTTTTGCTGCTCTAGCATGAAACTGAAAGTTAACTCTATCAGTAGATTGTTGAGAAGGAAACAGGAGCCTCAGGACTAATAGTCTAATCAAGGTCTGTTAACCCGTCCTGCTCTTCAACACAAACACCAGGAGCTGCTTTACAAAACCAGCATTACTTTACCCTGCTGTTCCACTCCTGCAAAAAAAGCACCACACCAAAACACTTAAGCTGTGTTAAATCAGCTCACAGCGAGAAAAATCAGTTCAATGTTCAACTGAAAGAGAGGCTGCAACAGCTCAGCTCACACATTTGTTTTTCTGTATGAAAACTCTACCTTTCTAGCTTCCCTTCATTTTCTACAGAACTCAGAACTTTTCATCAGGTGGATTAACATTTCCTATTGATTGCTTGATAATTAGTTCACAGACACAAAAAAAAGGTGACATTTGAATAAGCTGATGTACTTTTCAAAGCCTTCACCTTCCATCAAAGCACTGACCTTCCAATCTGCACACAAGGCACCTTATCCTCTAAAAAAGGGCCAACCTTGTAACTTCACTTTGCTGCCACTGGCTAAGGGTGTTTTTTGCAGCCTTACCTCTGCCACTGAGGCTGTGTACATACACCCCACCAGCAGCAAGCTCCAGCAGCATTAACAGCACTCAGCAATCACCCACCTTATGAAAAAATCTTAAGCTCAGTGATTTCTGGCACAGGATCACTCATGCGACAGAAGGAAAAAACTCCTCTTTTATTGATCCTTCCCACCTAAAACTGATTGGGATATTTTGCATACTTGTTTTTTTGCAAATCCCCTGCCTCTTTGATTCACTCTGCTGCAGTCACTCCAGGATGTTCCTGTCATTTTGCAATGCAATTAACTTCAAAAGAAAACAATCTGTGTCAAGGAAAAAAAGGCTCCACCTCACTTAAGAGAAGAACTTGTGACCTCACCCAGCTGGCGTATATTTATGAAGCTCATTTCCTGTTGAGACAGCAGGACTGTCCAAGCATAAGATGCTCCACTATTCTGACCTGTTTTATCAGCCATGGAGGAGCAATTACAAACTCAAAGCTTTTAAGACTATTTTGTGCCTAAGCAATAACTTCTAACCAAAATGTTCTTAACTCTGTCACCAAAGCAATATGCAGATAACAAGGATACTCAAGAGCTCCCTGGGTTTTTTTTCAGATGACATCAAGTGCTGCTCTAGGCATGACAGCGTCAGTGAGGATCAAATTCAGCTTTGCTTTCAAGGCTGGTACCTAGAACAATCAAGCAACTCTAAAAAAAAAAAATGAGGTAATGAAGCACAGCATTCTGCTGAAATCACCTGATATGTCACCACCAACTGCTTGGTACAGAACCCCCAGAGCTCAGCCATTCTTACCCAGTTTAATTTGCATTATTTAACTCCCATTAGGTTTTGGATCAGAGCTGTGCCTCAGCAGATGTGGGCAGTCATTGCTGCCACCCAACACAGAGGGCTGGAGTTCTTGTAGAACAGCAAAAAAATTGAGCTACTTCTTTTGATAAGTTACAAAACCTTTCTGGAAACTGCAGAAAGTATTAGAAAACATTTCTAACAAACAGAGACACTTTTCATTTAAGCACATCCTAAGAAGATCGTATGTATTTAGCACTTCACCATTTGCTAATACAATGACCTCTAATGAGCAGTTCTGGTCACATCATCACAGCATCTGATCCATTATCATTAAAGGGACCTAAAAATACCATGAAAGCACCTAGGAAATACATCTGCTTTCATAAATCCCAAGTGTATCACATTACGGCATCAGGTTGAAGCAGATTGTTAGATCACCCCAGCTGCTTCAGCAGGTTAAATCATTACTATTTTGGGATTTTGACTCTGAGCATAACCTGGTATTAAAATTATTTGCTCTAAAAGAACCACCATCAGAGCAGGCTGGAATCAAGGAATCACAGCTTTATCCACCAAGAGGGTACCATCAAGATGATTTTGTTTATATGAATACATTTCAGAAGGGCTGGACTCCCCCGGGAGTGCAGGTGCAGAGCTGGCAGCTCAGCCCAGCAGCTGGCCCTAAAGCAGATCCTAGTATATTTTTACCTTCACTACTCTGCTGTTATGTCAGATACCAAAACCTGGATGCACCTGACACCCTAGAACAACACATCCTTTCCTGCACTTTCAGCCTCCTCTGCTTCCCTGTGGTGTTTTGCCCAGGCAGCCCCATGGGTCCAAGGGGGAAGGTGACTCAGGCCCTGGTTATGAGCTGTGACAAGAACCAGGTTTGGCACAATCATAATTCCTGCCCTAGACCTTGTAAAACCACCTAAGAAACCTCTGCAAAGAAAAATTACATTTTGTTCATCATTTTAAGGCAACACAAGACCACGCTTTCTGGAGGCAGGTGCTCCCCTCACCCTCACTGTGCAGCCCTGACCCCCCAGCAAAGCAGGAAGCCTGGGATGATCCAGTTCCCTCAGCTCCTGCAGTGTCAGTCTGTCCATTGGGAGTATTTTATCAGTTCCTGATCTGCTTCATCAAGCAGCCACATGGTGAAGAGAGCCAAAGGGATGAGGACCTGCATGCAAAAGGGCAATTAATATTTCCCAAATCCCTGCGTTTGGAGTCTTTTAATGTCTTTTTTTCTGCAACAAAAATCTCAAGTATTTTACACACTGCCCACTCAGCAGTTAACACACAAGTTTGCCACAAAGTTCTAGAATACCTCTGTTCTTCTAACCAACAGGCTCTAGCCAGCTCTCTACTGGGAAGCACAACAATTCACTAAGGTATCCTCAAGTCAACAAAATCTAGCACAACTAAAACAAGTCATTCTTCACCACTGAATACCAGAAATTTTTGTTCAAGTTTGAAAGGCATTTTCTGCATCTATTAAAGGGAAGCAAAATAACTGAAGCTTCACCCACCCTGGAAGCACTCACTGACTGCTCAGGAAAATAAGGTAATAGATCCAGGAGCTCATTCTTACACAGCACAGGCACAGAGAAACATGTCTCTCTCCTACATGATTCACTTGAAGTGAAAACAAATAGTTGAAACTATAAAAATTTGGACTTTCAGAGCAGCAGGGGAAGAGACTACATCTCCAGCACCCTCTTCAGCTGTGTGGCAAGGTGGAGCTCAGCCTCAGCAATGATGGTATAGCCAGAGCACACACAGACCGACACCAGCCTGGTGCTACAGAAGATCAGAAGATCAGCAATGTAGAGGCCACCCCTGGCTCAGGAAGCTCCAGAGACAGACGGAGCTGGTGGCTGAGAGAAGAGGCGTGGGAACCACTGAGGGATCTCCCAGCCTCACACCCTGCCTGTGTCAGCTGCCTCTGGATGCTGGGCAAGGCAGACACAGCTCAGCTCAGGCATTCCCAGGTTTTCATGTGGTCTGGAATCACATCACAAGTGATGAGGCTTTTTAAACCGAGGGCTGAGCAAATACTTACTCATTGATTTTAAAACCTGTTGCAGCCTTTGTAAGAGCACTCCTCCCTGCTGCACTTGAATCTAGAATGCTGGAAAGGGTGGTTTTCTGGCTCTCACCACACTGCAATGCAGTAAGGGGGCAGCATCAGACACAGTGATCAACTTCTCCAGAGAAACACATTTCTTAAAAACACAACTTAATTTCTTAGGAGTTTCTAGACTTAAGGATTCTTAATGATGAAGACTATAAATGAACAAAACATCTTGTCCCTGAGGAATTCAGAGACACTGATGAACTAACTGCCTTTGCAAAATTTAGAGGGAACACCTCAAAGCAGGGCAGACTAGAGTCTTCCATTTTCTGACCATCTGTTCACAGGGAAAACGTCTCTCCTTACCAAGGGCTCCAGCTAACCAATGTCCCTTCTCCCCAGCAGCCACAGGCTCTCAGCCTGAGAGACTGAACAGCTCACAAGCTGTTCACAGAGACAGAACAACTGAAGAAAGGCACTGAAGTCCTCAGCCTGAGTAAAGTCATGTAATTTTTTTCTTTGGCTTTAGGAATCCACTTGGGGTACATGGATCAACATGATTAGCAGACACACAACTGAATCTATCCCACAGTTTGGACACAACTTAGATCCACAAGTTGCTCCATTTGCTGCTGCACTAATGGCAGCCACAAATACACCCAGAGTGCCAAGTCCTACCAAGAGAACCAGCCCCAAACTGAAAACATAACAGCTGCATGTTTTTCTGTAACTGGAAGTTTGTACTGGTAGAAAAATCAGACTCTTGTGCTGCACAACGTGTCAGATTATGTCAGCTTTCCCCAAAGGGTGCAGGAAATAGATAAATACACAGCTACCAAGA